TTTTTCACACAAAGCTTTTAATAAAAAATCAGTAAACAAGTTCTCAGCTTCTTTTTGCAGAGAAAAACTTTTTATACAAAGGCACGGGTTTCAACCGTGAATTTTGGCACTTTGACAAGACGGAGGTTTTTTCCCCGAGGTCGGCCTGTTAGCTTAGCTCGTAGCTTAGCTTCTCAGCTTAGCTGCTTTTAACCGTCCAAAAACACGATTTTGGACGGTTAAAACAGATTTTAAGTCAAGTCGTCAACTTTATTTATAGAGCACATTTAAAACAGAACCTGTTATCAAAGTGCTTTAAAGAGAAAAGAGAACGGGAGGGGTCAGTGAAGAGCATCGGAGTTGAGCCTTTTGTCATCCAGTGTCTTCAGTAGAAAGAGAGGGACATGAAGAAATGATAAAGCTGATAAATGAAAATGAGACAAATGTTCTTTCATTATGAATTTTTTTCTAAAAGAAAAGTTATCAGAATTTGCCTCATGATAGATGACTGTTTAAAAAAAAAAATGTTTACTGTACTGCATACCAAGTTTTAGTCTGAATTTGGCACAAGATAAATTAGCACTGCAACATTGTAATCAATAAAATGTAAATAAAATGGCAAAATATTAAAATAAACTATTCAAAGCACATTCAGTTTCACAGCTACTTTATAAGCAGTGTTGAGTAGCTGCTGACTGTAAGGTGAGCTATTCACCGAAACAAACTGCTCTGACTGTTCAGCTTGGAATCTCACAGCTGGGTGGAAAAGGCAGAAACTGGACAAACACACCGATCAGCAGCTGAACCGTCAACCTACAAACCTGAGTTCACCACATGTCTGGTTGAGAAGAGAAGCTTTAAACTTAGCAGCTGTGTGGAATGAGCGTGCATATTTTGTTTTTGTTACATTTAGTCTCTAATTCAGAGGAAACACACTGACCAAACAGATACGAAAGCAGAAGAAAATAATTACTGCTTTAAAATGCTGTATATCTATCTAAATGTTTTGTATATCTACACATTTGCAACTCCTTACTAAAACTGGACTGGTTTACATGTTTAGGACCAGCAAAGCAGACCTGTATGTGGTTTCAAAAGCAAAAACTCGGGCATGGAAAAGGATTTTCGGTTGGCCTTGAGAAGGTTCTAACAAACCGTTGGGCAACTCAGAAAAGGACAGCAGACTCCCATGCGTCCTGGACACCTCCCTTTGGAGGTGTTTCGGGGATGTCCCACTGGGAAGAGGCCATGGAGCAGACCCAGAACTCACTGGAGGGATTGTGTATCTTCTCTGGTCTGGGGATGCCTTGAGGTTCCCCAAGAAGAGCTAGTGTTGCTGGGGAGAGGGATGTCTGGGTTTATCCCCTGAACCTTTTGCCTCCACAACAGGACTACGGATCAGATGCAAAAGATGGAGAAAGTCTACACTGTATTATGAAGAGAACGGAATATGTTGACTGTGTGTCAGTTTTCCCATGTGAATTTGTCTTTATACTTATAAACTACTTGGTCAAGGGTGGAAATTTTGTTTCATTATGGGGGGGACAATCAAGATTTTAAAGAAGCATGGGGGTTGGACAAAGATTTGGACTGTGCTTATATAGCGCCTTTCTATCTTATCAAGATACTCCAAGCGCTTTACACCAGTGGTCCTCAACCCCCGGACCGGTACCGGTCCGTGGGTCAGTGGGTACCGGGCCACACAGAAGGGGAAAATAGTTTTATTTTGAAAAATCACTGGATTGTCTCTACCACATCAGTCGATGACTCACTCTTGTCAACATGCACAAGTGGTTAGTTTCAGTTTGAGTTCTACATTGCTGGTGAAGAACAAAGCTACGTGGTGTGGAGCAGACAGGTGGAGGTGCGCAGCGTATCTGTGCATTTTGAAGGTTACACTGCATATTTTTCACACCACCTGACAAAGATTGACTATAAAACTATAACTGAATAAAACTATAATTTTAACAAGCTTCCTAAAATCACATCAGAGCACATTTTTGCTTCTGCTCAAAAAAATCCCTGCCCCTAGTCATGGGTAATTTTATTATAAAACACAAAAATATAATTAAACATTTTGCACTAGGGTTCCTGTGCTTTTGTGAACAATCTGATGTGTGAATCACTGCAGGAGTTCTCTGAACTGTCACCGAACTGATGAAACAGACGATGAGCTCAGCGCATGAAGCTGTGTGTCGTGCAGTCAGAGAGTTTGAAGCAAAAATGTTTTAAATGTTTGTAAAATACACCAGAGTGCAGGAAATGGCATCTACTTTATTCACATTCTGTTGGGGAGGACCCCCAGACCACGCCATCCCCCGGTCTGTGAAAATATTGTCTGACATCAAACCGGTCCGTGGCGCAATAAAGGTTGGGAACCACTGCTTTACACCACAGTCTGTGCCTCATTTACCCATTCATACAGCACTCTACTAGATCTATACAAAGCTAATTGAACAAATCATTCTAAAGAGACTAATCAGAGCTTTATCACATTCATACACTGATGGGACACACATCAGAGGCTATGAGGGGTTCAGTGTCTTGCCCAGGGACACTTCGGCATGTGACAGCTGCCTGTGATGGACTTGCGACCCGTCCAGGGTGTACCCCGCCCCTCGCAAAGTGATTGCTGGGCATGGGCACCAGCGACCCCCGTGACCCAAAATGGAATAAGCGGGTAAAGAAAATGGATGGATGGATGGATGGACCCTGTTGGATAATCAAACTGCTTTAGACCATGTGACAGGCAAAGTTAAGTCCCCACTACAACAAGAGCTGCCACATAGGGGTGCTAACTAAAAGCTGAAATTCATGCTAGCTTCACTGCCTCTGTTCTCAGGCAGCCTCTCACTCATTTCTGTTTTACCTTGGTGGGGTGGGGGCATTTAGGCTAATCCACTATATGCCTATATAAATGGTAGATATCCATTCATCCATTCATGCAAACTTTATTTATACAGGTTAGTCTCATTGAATCAAGGAGGACTCATTTACAAGAAAGACCTGTTTTAAACAAAAGCCACAGATGAGGTACACACAACGATAAAACAATCATAAAAAATCATTTAAAATGAAAAGTAAAGACAATAAGTAATCTAAAATGAAATTAAAAAAACATGCTACATTATGAAACAGTGTATATTACTAAAAACAGGAACATGTCTGCATTGACTTTTGAATTGAACTTAACAGTTGTTTAAAATCCCTTAGAGAGGTCAAAGTGGACATCTTCAGATCTTTTTGTAAGGTGTTCCAGGATACAGGAGTGGAGTAGGAAAAGGCCCTTTTGCCAAATTTGGTTCGCAATGAGGGGACGCTGCAGGTAATTGTCATGAGAGCGCACGCAGTAGCTGCACTGATAAAGTGACATGTAGGAGGAGATGTATGAAGGCAGCAGACCAA